GACATTTAAAAAAACAAAACTACATTTTAGCCGAGCTTGTATCAAAGTTTCATCTCAACTCTTGTTTTCCAGCTGAGGAAAGCAGAAAACTGTCATTTAGGCCACAGCTTGGGATGAGGCAACTAAAACATTCTTATCTGCAGCGTTGCCTCCAAGCACAGCTCCTGTGAGCTGCTGTCTCAGCACCTGAACACAAAGGTAGCTTTCCATCAGCCATGAAGCACACTGGGAATGACATCCTGTCTCTGTGGGAACAGATGACTTTGTGTTAAACGGCTCATTGCTGTGCAGACCCACACACGTCCTTTGTGTCGGTGTGGCTGACACCGTCGGCATGTGCACATACCACCAGAGTGACGAACAGTGTGTAATGTGGGAAACCTTTGTGACGTGTGCGACTGTAGCTGGCGGCTGAGACGAGCGAGGCTGCAGACAGAGGAGTTCAGCCCGGAGCAGCAGCGCAGCCTACAGGAGAAGCTGCAGCCTGCAGCACCGACGTCAGGTGACCTGCTCTTTTATGTACTCGGATACTTTAGAAACATTAAGCTCATCCAAGTTTTCATGAGGTCAACACTTGTCAGAAAAACAGTTTGTAGAATGTGGTTAAACTGAGACCGTTGCTTTTAGCGCCTCGTGTAGAGGAAACGCCCACGTTATTTTGTATCGTGACTTCAGTGCACGGAGCTGCTAATTCCACTCACTGATGTGTTCACAGTGGGCAGTCTGCAGCAGGAGTCCTCTCTCTGTCCTCTTCCTCCACACTCATGGAGATCCTGGAAGCGATCAAACATCCCACGTAAGATTCCTTTTTAATGTCTCCTGCTTGTTTGGGACCAATGAGTCGGTACGATAACGGAGGAAAATCTATGAAACGTTAGCACGTGTGTCTCCCCGTGGGCCACTGCCAGCAGGAATGGCCAAAACGAACGTGCTCAGACAAAAACATACTTCAGGGTTCGTGTGGTCGCTGGATATCTGCAGGTGAGATAAGAAGAACATTTCTAACAATCTGAACTTCCAAATGAAAAGTGCCAGTTTGTTTCAGTCG